TTTAATTAATGTCACGGATTACCATGAAATTTTGATCTTTTTTATGTACGATTTTTAAAATTTTTTGGTTAGGATTTAGGGTTAGAATTATTAATAAAAGAATATAGGTGGATTTTGGTAGAGCTAATATTTTCAAATTGAGACCCAAATTTCATGATAATCCAATTTCACAATAATCTGCAACAATTAATATGTATCTTGGATAAAGAATTGAAATGTACAGTACTAAGTACATATTGTGAAATTTGATGATTTGATTAGTCAATTTTCACAAGACTTTAACTATTATTTAACTGATTAAAGCCAGTAAAATATAAAAAAAAAGTCTGGGCCTTTACTACAAATGATCTTAAGCAAAATGATGCATGCCAGTTAGTAATACTAAAAAACTCATAATATTTAAAAACACTTTTAACATAAAATATTCATATTTGAAATATACTGGCAATCATAAATAATGCAGCAAAAAAAAAATTATTAGATTGTATTATCTCATATTATTCAGGGCCAATCTTCATTTTTTTTTATTATTATATTCATAAATAGTATTTTTTTCTGCTAGTAGAATTTTATTACTCATTAATACTGCCAATGTGAAAATAACTACACATGTGTCATGAAACATGTAATGTATTATTTTTGCTCATTTTTGATAAAGATCTAATAACATATTTTGTACTATATAAACACATATAAAAATAGATATTTTTTTGTTGTTTTTGCATCTTGTATAATGTTAAAATTAATTGATAATTAAACTGCAAAAAAAAAATATGCAACTTCTGTCCAAAGAGCTCAAATATTGCTTTTGTTACAAAAAGTATATACCACAAGGGCTATAGGCTGGGTTTGTTGTATTAGCTTCTCTATTATCTCCCATATCAAAAAAAGGTAATTAGTAAATCATATATTTGAAAATTTAGAAAGGGTTGGTTGCTTACCTTTGGTGGACAAACCAACCTAAAAAAAAATTGTAAATTTGATTACCTTCTATCACTGCTCTACTGCTGTGCAGATAGTCTCCTATCTGAAAAAAAAAGAAAATCTTGAAATTTCAGCTTCTATTATTTGATGTATTTTCCAGAAGCATGGTTTGGTGTTGGGTATCAAAAGAAAAAAACTCTTTCTGAGTACTGGTTATCAAAAAGCAAGGCTTGACTTTGCAAAAAAATATGAAAATTGGTCTGTCAAAGACTGATTTAAGGTAATCTGGTTCAATGAGTCAAGATTTCAAATTTTTGGATCATATGACAAGCAGTATTATTAGAAATATTTTGATGAGCTGTTAAACCATTTCTATATTCAGCCAAAAATAAAGCACAGAGGTGATTTGGTCATGATTTGAGGTTGCTTTACCTCTCATGATATTAGAGATTTTTGTAAAATTGATAGCATGATAGATGGTAAATTGTATCAGCAGATACTTTGTATAGACTTTATAGAAACTATCAGGAATCATGAGTTGGATATTAGAGATATTATTTTCTAGCAAGATGATACCACTTGCCATACTATGACCTTGACTAAACGTTGGTTTGAAAGGAATAGAGTGAAGATCTTTGATTAACCCCCTTGTTCCCCAACCTCAATTCTATTAAACACCTGTAGACTAAGATCAACTATCACTTTAGGAAACTTCCTGGTAATATTTCAAGTAAAAAAAAACTTTTGGGAAAATATTCAAGTAGTCGGGGAGCAAATCGATGTTGAAACCTGTACAAACCTGATTCATTCAATGCCAGAATGAAAATCCATCACGAATTGCGCGAGATAATATGATCTAACGATTTTTTTTTGCTGCATTATTGATGATCGCCAGTGTATTTTGCATACTTATATACAATTTTGATTATACTTCGTTGAACACACACATGTGAAACGTATATTTAATCATATCTTTTTTTAAAATTATATTGACTACATAATAGCTATCATTTTCTAATTTAAAAATGAAATATAGCAATTAATTATTGAAATAAATTAAAAAATGATGTGAAAAATGCATAGATTTGAATATATGCATAAGTCTAAATGAAATCATAATAATTTCTTCATTAATTGTAAATTTATATAAATACTGATTAAAAAATGAGTATGTCATTTTCAAATTGAAAAATGATATGCACCAATTAATAATTGACATAAATTGATAAATGACGCATAACATATAGCTCACTGATAGTCACTTTACATAAGATAACGGTCTCTGCAGCATTCGCATAACATGTTTGTAGCATTTATTCCATACCATATAGCCTGTCGTATAATAACAGGTTCTAACACCAGTAATTCTTAAAATAACATGCATTATTTTAAAATTTACACCGATACCGATTGGAACATAACGTGTGTCAAAATTTAACTAATAATCAGTCCACGCGGGAGGCCATGGATTTAACTTTGTACCCGGTTTTTTACGTATAACTAAATTCAGGAAGACCGATCGTTAGGGTGTGTAACGGCCTATTAAATCAAACTTAGGCAGGGTCACTAATGATCTTCACTAATTTCGGATTTTTTATAGATATTAATGCAACATATCAATCTTATTAAAACAAAAATTACATTTATTGAAATAAATAATTAACTAAATAGAATACTATTTTTTTAAAAAAAATTGAACCTCAAGACTAGCTCTACACTGAAATAGAGCTATTTTTTAATATTTTTATAAAAAATACATAGAACACTAATAATTAATGTTTTTAGTTTCGATTATCAGTATTTTTTTTACTTTTTTTTTAAAAAAAATAGCTCTATTTCAGTGTAAAGCTAGTTTAGATCTTCAAGTTAAAAAAAAAACAGTATATTATTTAATTAATTATTTATTTCAAAAAATGTAATTTTATTTTAGTAAAATTTATAATGATAATCATATTAATTTGGGGTTCGATTTACAACAAAATTACTAATTCATCCCCCAAAATCCCAAAAGCAATTTTTGATACTATCGGGATTTTGAGCATCAGGATTTTAACTATATGTAAAACAAAATCCTATTAGAAAATCCGCAATTAGTGATGATCACTATTAACCCTGCCTATGTTTGATTTAATAGGCCGTTACACACCCTAACCGATCGTACTGTATTTGTCGCGTCCATTGAATGAGACAGATTGGTCGATGTGTGATGAATATGAGCAATCGGATAGAATGGTCTTTTCAGGATTATGGATCATATTAGAAAAATGGACTATATTAGTTCTATTAATCTTATAGTTCGTTTAGCATAAATATTTTATCTATAAAAATGTAATGTCTTTGATGTTCAATAAAGAATTGGATTAATCCTATCATAAAATGGTCGTTTTCTAGAGAGTCTGTTGAAATTTATAAACCCAACTTAAAACTACTAATAAAATACCACCAAAAACACCATCTGGTTGATTTAACATACTAAGTTAGTCATGATTATTGTATTGCACTGAAGAATACATTTCCGATAGTTTTGAAGTGGTGTAGATTGCTAAAGATTAGGTTGGTATGATCCGATAATTCATTACTATCTTGAAACATTGTCACATCACTCGCAAATTTAAACGTCTCTTTTGCAAGTGAATAAGTCAAACTCCAGTGTAAACTCTTCTGGAGATTTATGATAAGCACGTGAGCAAGATTTATCTAACGAACGAAGATCGAGGCATGCAAACCTCTGGGATGAAGATGCCCTTTATTAATAGATAGTTTCATTTATTAACGCTTATACACGATTTATCCCCTTTACTTAATAATACCCTTTAACTAAATAATCTCTTATTAGATACTTAAAACTAATATGCCGTTTATTATTCTTGCTCGGTTCAATTATTTATTCAAAAGAAATATACTATGGGAGTAGTGCCATGCTGCGGCTCTACTGAATTTACAGGCGTTTATACTTTAATCTTAAAACAACATCATAAATAGG